AATTAATTAATTAATTAAAAAAAAAAGAAATCAGCAATTCTACTTGTAAGGACTTCATTCTATAGAAATAACTGTGAAGGTGCACCAGTATTTAACAACAGTAATATATGTGCTATCACAGTTCTAAGCACTTGACTCACTAATCCTCTTAACAAGCCAGCAACCCTGGAACTATTATTAGCTTCATTTTATGGTTGACAAAAGTGAGGTCAGGGACATTAATTAACTTGTACAGGGTCACAGAACTGGACTCCTGGAGCCAAAATCTGAAACCAGGCTGCCTGCCTTCAGGGTCTATGCTTGTGACCACTATGCTGTATTGCTACCAACGTAATTACTGCAGGTGCTATTTTCGTGAGGGATTGGAATACCTAGACATCTAACAACAAGGAACTGTTTTTCAAAAATCAAACAAAAATATATAAAATCATTCATCCACTTAAATTATATTATATTTATAATAACATTGTAGAACAGTTAGTGACATAGAAAAACTTGTTCAATATAGGGGTGCCTTGCTGGCTCAGTCAGTAGCACATGCGACTCTTGATCACAGGGTTTTGAGTTGGAGACCCACGTATGGCACAGAATTTACTTAAAATAAAAAAAAGAAATTTAAGGGGAAAAAAACTGGTTCAATACAGTGTTAAGAGAAAAAATCTGGGGCGCCTGGGTGGCTCAGGCATTAAGCCTCTGCTTAATTGAGGGTCCTGGGATCGAGCCCCGCATCGGGCTCCCTGCTCGGTGGGAAGCCTGCTTCTCCCTCTCCCACTCCCCCTGCTTGTGTTCCCTCTCTCGCTGTGTCTCTGTCAAAAAGAGAAAAAATCTGGTTGAGACACGTGTTAAAGAAAAATATTCTCCCAAGTGTTAACAATGGTAACCACTGGGTATTAAAATTATAGATGACTTTTGGCTCATCCGTACTTTCTAAATGTTCTATAATATATTCCTTTTCCAAAAAAAAAAGAAAAAGAAAAATGGAAATTTTTTAAATTAAAAGAAAAATAAAAGGGAAATCTATGTCTAAACCAGCACTAGAGATTTCCTGGCAAAACATATACAGATTGTGCTCCATTTGAAAAAAGAAAAAAGAAAAAAGGAAGAACAAGATTGTAATGGTTAATTTTATGTGAAAATTAACTGGGCTAAGAGATGCCCAAATCACTGGGAAAACACTACTTCTGTGGATTCTGTGATTTTAAAAAATGGTATCTAATGCTTTCATGTATAAATTGGGATTTTCCTGTTTTCTTCTAGGAAAGGTAGGGTTTTAGGTCTTACATTTAAGTCTTTAATCCACTTCAAGTTAACTTCTGTGAGTGGGGTAAGAAAGAGGTCCAATTATATTATTTTTCATGCGTCTGTCCAGTTTTCCTAATACCAGTGATTGAAGAGACTACCTTTCTCCATTAAGTATTTTAGCTTCTTTGTCAAATATTAGTTGACATATATGTGTTGGTTAATTTCTGGGCTCTCAATTCTGTTCCTTGGTCAGTGTTTGTACCATACTGTTTTGATTGCTACACTTTGTGATATAGTTTGAAATCAGAAAATGTGGTATCTCCAACTTCGCTCTGCCTTTACCATACCGCTTTGGCTATTCGAGGTCATTTCTGATTCCATACAATTTTAGAACTTTTTTCTATTTCTGCAAAAAAAATGGCATTTGAATTTTGATAGAGGTTGCACTGAATCTATACATGACTTTGGGTATTATGGACATTTTAACAATATTAATTCTTCCAATCCATAAAACTGGGATACTGTCTATTTATTTTTGTCTTCTTCAATCTCTTTCAAAAATGTATAATAGTTTTCAGTGTACACATCACTCACCTCCTCGGTTAAATTCCTAAATATGTTACTGTTTTTGATGCTACTGTCAATGGAATTGTTTTCTTTCTTTTTCAGATAACTCATTGTTTGTGTATAGAAATGCAAGTGATTTTTATATTTTGATTTTGTATCCTGTAAATTTACCAAATTTGTTTCTCAGTTCTAAGAGTTTTTTGGTGGCATCTTTAGGGTTTTTATAAATAGGATCATGTTATCTGCAAACAGAAACAACCTTACTTCTTCCTTTCTAATATGAATGCCTTTTATTTCTTTTTCTTGACTAACTGCTCTGTGTGGGACTTCCAGTCCTTTGTTCAATAGGAATGGTGAGAGTAAGGGGCGCCTGGGTGGCTCAGTCGTTAAGCGGCTGTCTTGGGCTCAGGTCATGATCCCAGGGTCCTGGGATCGAGCCCCGCATCGGGCTCCCTGCTCGGCGGGAAGCCTGCTTCTCCCTCTCCCACTCCCGCTGCTTGTGTTCCCTCTCTCACTGTATCTCTCTCTGTCAAATAAATAAAAAAGATCTTTAAAAAAAAAAAGGAATGGTGAGAGTAAGCACCCTGGTCTTGTTCCTGACCTCAGAAGAAAAGCTTTCAAACTTTTACCATCAAGTATGAAGGCAGCTGTAGCTTTGTCATATATGGCCTTTCTTACGTTAAGGTATGTTCCTTCTATCTCCAATTTGTTGGGAGTTTTCATCATAAAAGGATACTGAATTTTGTCAAACACTTTCTGCATCTATTGAGAGGATCATATGATTTTTTTCCTTCACTCTATTAATGTGATGTATCACATTTATTGATTTGCATATGTTGAACGAACCATCCTTATACCACAGAGATATATCCTACGTGACCATGGTAGATGATCCTTTTAACGTACTGTTGAATTCGGTTTCCTAGTATTTTGTTGAGAATTTTTACATCAATATCCATCAGGAATACTTATCTGGTAGTGTCCTTATCTGGCTTTGGTATCAGGGTAATGCTGGCCTTGTTAAAATGAGTTTGAGAGTATTCCCTCCTCTTCAGTTTTTTGGAAGAATTGAGAAGGACTGGCATTAATTCTTCTTTAAATATTTGGTAGAATTCACCAGTGAAACCACCTGGTCATGGGCTTTTTTTTACTGGGAGATTTTTGATTACTGATTCAATCTCCTTAATCATTACTGGTCTGTTCAAATTTTCTATTTCTTAATGATTCAGTCTTCGCAGGCTGTACATGTCAAGGATATTATCCATTTCCTCTAGATTATCCAATTTGTTGGCATACAATTGTTCATAGAGGCCTCTTATGATCATTTGTATTTCCATGGTAACAGCTGTAATATCCTCCTTCATTTCTAATTTTGAGTCTTTGCTCTGTTTTCCTTGGTTAGTCTAGCTAAACTTATATTTATCTTTTCAAAAAACCAATTATTACTTTCATTGATTTTTTTTTCTATTGTCTCTCCAGTCTCATTTCATTCATCTCTGCTCTAATCTTCAATATTTCCTTCCTTCTGATAACTTTGGGCTTAGCTTGTTCTTCTTTTTCTAGTTCCTTGAAATGTAAATTTAGGTTGTTTGTATGGAGACCTGGAATCTTACATCAGACAAACGACACAAACCATACCAAAGGGAACTAAATGAGGAAGGTCACTAGTATCCATTGAACAAAACACAAAGTCTTCAGTGACCAGAGAATTGTACCCGTAAGCATGAACATCAGCACTGCCCACTGCCTCAGACAACTGCAGGTAGAGCTTCCAGGAAATCTGGCAGGAGGCCTAATAAAAACCGAACCGTAGTGCATAAGACAAATTTAGTTTAACTTGTTTTTAATGCCAAAGACTGGGTCCTGCAGAAAGGGGAAATGAGGAAACAAATACAGAACCAGATAGAATTTTTGTTTAAAAGCAGTTCAACCCCCTACTCAACAAACACATCTTTAGCTATATGACCTTTTACTTATGCCATTTTCTCCGCCTGGAAGACTTCCCCCTAATCCCACCACTTGTCATTTCTTTAACTCTCACTTGTCTTTCAAGATTTAGCTCAAACATCATCCCCTTTAGAAAGTGTTCTCCAAAGCTGTAGTATGACATACTTGCTTTCATAGCAGCCTTTCAGGAACAAATAATTATTGCACATCTGTCACCTGACAAGCACCTGATGCATTTCTCATTCATAACACCTATTCCGGAGCCTCATCAGTGCCTCTAGGCATCCTTAGTAAATGCCTTGAGGCCCCCATGAAGTACCAGGTGCTAGAGATCAGAATGATTCAGAAGTTGCCCCTGCCAGGGAGCTCATAAATGACAGAGAAAAGAGGGAGATTAACAATTATAGCTCACAATAGGGTGAAGTATGCTGTAAATAATGCCGTGGGCAAAGGAGGCTTCTGGGTTCTCTGGTAAGGAGGAGATTGGGTGTACAGCCTTTGTAACAGAAAAACATGTTCAGTGTCCTGAACCTGCCTTGCAACAAGCTCACCAAATGTACTTATCAGCCTTATAAATAGCTTGCACATCCCTCAACGTTAGCTCACAAAGGATGAGCCCATTTGCATTTCGTTTCTTTCTTTGGAGAGTTAAATTGCATTGAAGAAGCTAGGTATTCTTCCACTTACTCAGCTGTCGTAATAAGCTAAGTTTAGACAAAGGAATGAGAGGAGGCCAAAAAAAAATGTGTAGCATCCACAATCTTTAATCTGCAACTATATAACAGTATTGCAATCATCCTATTATTGGTTTGGTTGGAAACCAAGTTTACAAACAGAGCTGCTACAACCATAAAAAAAATTATTCCCCTGTGATTAAGGAGTAAAATGAAAGGTGTTAAATAAATACAAAGAAAAGAGAACACTTTCTGAAAGCCATTTCTATCTAGCCTGGAGCGTGAAGGGGAAGCCAAGTGACTGAGAGTAGGTGGGGAAGAGTGAGAATTCACAAGGTGGTGTTCTGACTTCTGCTCTCAGTCCCTGATGACGCTCACCCAACAAGTTCTTCCCAAAAGGGCACAGGCAAAAGAGGAAAAGTACCTCCGCAGTTCATTCATAACCTTGAACGCCTTCCCCATATGCGCAGGGTTGACAGTGATCGTCCTCTGGTTCTTCTCATCATCTCCGGCCTGAACCGGGGGCTGGGAGCTCGGCTTGATGCTGTGAACAGGAAGGGAGTGGGAGGGTGAAGAGAGGATCACATGTTGGTAAACCCATTCACCCAGCTGCCACAACTCAGTGTAACTGCCCACCCACCAGAAGCATCTTTGTCAGCTTGTTTTCTTCATCACAGACCCAGCAGGGAAAGAAATGCGCTGGGTCAGCCATTTCTGCAGGATCTTCCAATGCAACATACATTCCTCTGGTGGAAGCCAGGTCCTCAGTCAGCTTCTACCAGCACTTGTGTGACTTTATGGGAAGTCTTTATCCTCCACCCACCATGCCCTAAAGGGGTGGGGATGTGGGAGGAGATTAAGTGCTATTCCACTCACTTCACAGGGAAATTTGTTCATCCAACAAACATTTAATGGAGCCTACCATGTGCCAGGCACTGTATTTAAATTTAAGGGAAACACAACAACAAACAAAGTCTAGACAGCTGCTTTCAGAAAGCTTAGAGCTCAGCAGAGGAGGAAGCCAAGTAAACACCTAAACATCCTATCTTTTTTTATGTTCATTTTTTTAATTTAAATTCAACTAATTAACATATCATGTATTATTTGTTTCAGCGGTACAGGCCTGTGATTCATCAGTCTTATACAACCTAAACATCCTATCTTAAGTATGATGATTGGACAGGAGGTAGAGAAGCGCAGAGGATGGGCAACGACTGCAGTGCTGGCAGGATGAGGGGAAACTTCCCAGAAGCTGAGGGAGAGCAGAAATCTCAAGGAAGAGCAAAAAAGGGCAGGTAAAAGGAAGATGGAGAGCATCCTGGCAGAGGAAAGAGGAGATACAGAGACCTAAAGGAAAAGAGTCAAGGGAGTTCAGTAGAACGAGGAGTCTCAAAAGCAAAGGCTAGATTTGCAATGACGTGGATGAACTAGAGGGTATTATGCTAAGTGAAATAAGTCAATCAGAGAAAGACATGTATCATATGATCTCACGGATATGAGGAATTCTTAATCTCAGGAAACAAACTGAGGGTT